AGCAATACTCACAACTATTCATTTTCTGTAATTGGAACCACAGAAAAAGACAAGACTGATATACCACTAAGGCTAAGCTAGAACGCAGTCTTTCCAATTTTTCCCAGTTTACTCAGAGACGATATAGCTAGTAGTTCAATTAACACTGTCAGATGGAATGTTAGGCATATGTTACTAATTTATGCTATTTGCACTGCAAAGTTACTTTTTCAAACACTAACAATGTTCTAACCAGTTTTCTGAAAAACAATCAGTGATGATTGGGTTATTACGTAGGTGTTTCTCTTGAATTACATTGAGCATCCTTGCTGCGTAAAAAATAATTTCTCACAAAAAAAAAATTGCATGCAAGAACGTGACTGTGCACAAACACAACACTGGGAAAATTCCTTCACACTAGGCTCCTCGGGGAAATAAACAATTGTTTTCTTAACAGGTTCCACTGTATTATTTTTTCAAAAGCAAATATATTTTACGTCCTCTAAAACCAGTACTTTGTCATAAGACAGCTACATGTATAACAAGTGGAACCAGGAAGAGAAAGCGCAGTTCTAATCAAATTACTTACTGCAACATGAGTACCAGGAACCTAACCTGATAACAAAATGGCCAAGCTAAATTCATAAATTATGCCAATAATGGGTCACTTTCCATAATAGTTTACATTATACTATTCTTGTGCCACCTTGTGTTTAGAAAACAGCTGGATCATAAATTTGCACTACAAATCGACACCTCTCTTGCCATGTCAAAATTAGTGTCTTTATCTTTTCTCTGGGTATCTGCCAAGGTGTTTTCGTTTATGGGGAAGACCCACCAATAAGGGTTGATCTGTTTATACAGTAATTAAAGCATTTGGGTTCCTACAGGACTATAACCCCCATAGCATGCAAGTGGACACAAAATGGTGCACCGAACGAAAATAACAAAACAAAGATTTGAGTTATAAATTCTTCTAAGCCCATACACAAATACAGGAACTTTAGTCGTGGTCATTTCTTTTTGTTTTTTTCTTTTTTTGTTTTTTTCTTTCTTTCTTTTTTTGTTTAAATCCTCAACCAAGATTAAATAAATCCCCCTTAATTATCAGCGATAAAGCGATTGCAGCAACTGTGGAAATTCAAAGCTCGATGGACCTCAACAAATCAACCATATCAAAGACCAAATGTTACAATCAGCACGCACTGGACCAAGTTTCCGGTGTTTTGAATTTCGAAGATTTGTTCTACAGCCCCAGCGACAATAATACTTTGTGCACTTTCAACAGAGCTTTTAAGGGCTTTCCCAAATTTCGTGCATTTTAAATGCCGCGATCCCGACATTTCAATCAGACATATTCTAACTTCATTCCAACATGGACCTGTTAATTCCTATTGTTCCCGTTAATCAAGAATGCGTCTTGGCAAGAGAAACGACACCAGACGTGTCGAGAGAACCACTCATCAATCATTTAGAAACCAACAAAAACCCAGCGCGTGAAACCGACAACTTCAACACTCATATTGCCGCAGTTTTAAAAAAACCATTAGCGAAAGCAAACGCGTTTCTCGATTTGTTTTTGTTTTCCTTGCCATCTTTATTTTCTTCGCGGCAATTCATTTCACATTGCGTCTTTGATGATTTAATGATTTAGGCCGATAACACGGAGTAAGTCTTTTGCCAGAGCGCAAAGCAGCGAGTCGTTTAGGCAGATTAAGAATTAGCACAAAAACACCCGCCGGTGAATGGTTGAAAGAAGGACATTGTACATGGTGCAATGGCTGTTTTGACGGTTAGTCGAGACACATATAAACAAAACCGTGATCTCTATCGTAACGAGATACTGATAAAAATTTTGATAAGAAAACCTCTTTAACGTTTACCGTAATTTTTCGTATGCGCAACTAATTTATTTCACCGTGAGCAAAGTTGAAAGTTTCCGCTCGTAATTTAGCGGCAATGTCAACAAAACTTAGCTCGTACCGCGCCGATCCACTTTAATAAATTTTACTCCAAGCAACTCCGGCTTAATCCCCAATTAGGTTTATTTAAACCTTCAAACAAAGCCAGTCTCCTCATCTCACGCTATCGACAAAAGCCGAAACGAAAATGGAAATGTGCGCGGCATGAGAAAATAAGAGATCAACCAAATTAGTTCGTGGCCGATTTCGGTGGCGGTTAGATATTCACGCCGGCTGGATTCGTGCATTTGAATAAGAATACAAGTAAAAAAAATATGTAAATACCTGGGCAGTTGCATGGAGGGGGTTCAAAATCGCTTTCTCTGCGGGAAACTTCTACCTTGCTGCTCCTCAAAAGGTTTTCGGCGACCGGTTCGGTTAAGCGAGTGGGCTGAACGACACCGCTCGCTGTTTCATTCACACGAATAGGATCCTCGGCGGTAACGCTGATTTCTGTGCTCTGCAGCTGAAGTACTTTGGCGTTTTCCTGCACGTGAATTTTCCCTGGCGACTCTGGTTTCTGCGGTTTACATTCACTAGGCTCTGAATCGTTGATAAGTTCGCTTTGAGCGCCATCTTCGCCAGCTCGCTTTGAGAGAAAAATCGCAAACCACAACAAATAAGTAAACTTGCTGAATATTCGCAAACGAAGCGCGCGCATAAATTGCCTCAAGTAAACCCCGGTGCTACGAGAAAAAAAAAACTTTTCAAGGCCTGGAAATGTAATTTTCGCCTAAACGTGAATAAAATCAGTGTGAGGTCAGTGGTATTATTTTAGATGATTCGTCCTACCTTATCGGGTTCTTCGATAGAACAACTCACGCGACGCGAGCTTTCCGGTGAGATGTCGTCTTCATTATAACCCTGTCGCAGCTGAACCGCATCTCGTTTCGCAACGTTCGTTGTCGTTTTCTGCAAGACCAAAACGAAAGCATACTACAAATTAATTCAAGCGAAAACTACTTTAGCACAACGCACAAGGTTTTGAGTGCAAAAATTATCAATCTCCAGCCGGAATCATTAACGTTCGTTCAAATATTCGCACCTTTCTAAGTTCAATACACTTGCGGAACTTGCATATCTGATGACCAGTTTTTCTATTGACACAATTGCTGCACTCGCCGCAATTTACTTTTCTCAGACAGGGCTCACAAGCACCGCATCTTCTTCGTTTCTTTCGAGGAACTATGTCCTCGAAAACGCCAGATCGCTTTTCACCGGGTTCGCTTCGAGTTCCTGGCGTCGCCGTTGTTGTTCGCTCAGCGCCGTTTTCCATAGCCACTAGACTAGTCGCGTAGCGTCGAAAAAAAAAATTCACGACCAACAACCCGTGACAGCAATAACATTCGCGGTTAAACTCGCGAATTTCGACCAGATCATCGAAGAAAGCTTCCAAATGCGAGACCCAAAGTCGAAAAGTTGACTCGCCTAGAGCTAGAAGCTGCTACCAACGATATCAGTGGCGAATGTCAGACAAGCTTGTCGTTGATCGAACGCAAATTTCACGCAGCCACAAACCACTTCCGAGCCAACCAAATGCTTAGTAGGTGGGAACAGTCTGTTTGCGAGCCGACGAATGCACGCCCACGTGGGATGCGATGCCGCGAAAACTGATCAACCGTGACCAATTTGCGCGCGTGCGTGCGTCCTTCGAAGTCGTCAATTTCCAGTTCGAAGCCAATAATAAGATTCCGGTTTCACAGCCGCAGTCAAAATACAACACGAGAGATCTGCAAAGCGGAAACAAATATTCAAAATTCCCTCCGCTATTTTTTTATTTTCGAATTTCTCTATCTTCGATAAAAAACGTTCGAATCAATGCAGCATTTTCTGGCGAATTACTTCGCTTCCAACTGGGTCCGGAAAGGACTCGCAATTTTCAACCCTTCAGCACAGCTGTTCAGCGTTATCCGAAATAGCAAGACTTAGTAAAAAAATATCCTAGGAGTGGAGGATTAGTGTCGGAAATTGCCCATATTTTAAGATCATATCACAAAGTTTTCGTTCTGTCGCGAGAGGGGAGCAAGAAAAAAAAAATCCTTGTCGATACAAATTGACGTCGGCCGTTTTGAAGACGCTAAATTAAAGCGTTTGAAATGCAAATTTCTGTGACTTGAAAACGAAAACAGTAATCTTAAACTATTTTAGCTGGGTGCTAAACACAGCCGGTGTTTTGCAGCATTCATCTCGCTGTAAATGTCGACACCGCCGAATTGTTTTCACGCTTGATTGACAACGGTGTAACAGAAAATGCCGCATCTCAGAAGAGCGACCAAGACGTGAGAAAACATTACAATCGCAATCATCTGTCTCCCGTGTGCTCTTAAGCAAAGTAAATTATTCTTTCTGTCGATCTCGCGATAAAGGTGTATAAATTAAGCTATTCATTAGGCAGAAACAGTAAACAACACGAGCTGGGATGTCGTGTCGCCCCCTTCGAGTGGATAAACCCTGCGGCCAAGTGCGTGTGGTGGTCCTTTGTTGATCGACACAGTTTGACGTTTTAACTGATCCGTGACAATATTTATACAATTGTCTACACGCACTTCATTTGCGTAACGCGGCTCGTTGCGAACGGGTCGTGTTGCCATGCCAACTTTAAGCCAATAGAGTAAGAAAAGTTAGTTTAAGTATAATAATTTTTCCCTTTTAGGTCGTCAGGCGCCTTAGCTCAGTTGGTTAGAGCGCTGGTCTAGTAAACCAGAGGTCAGTGGTTCAAATCCGCTAGGTGCCTCATTTTAGCGATCGTGGCGGCTTTCCCCTTAAAATTGATTTTTTTTCGTTCTTTTTGTCATAGCACTTTTGCTAAACGCGTCATAGCTACAAATGATTTTTAAGCCATTGAAAATTCTACAATTCTGAAGCAAACTAAAATATGCTTACCGTAATAGTTATAAATAGCTCTTCAGATCACTAAAAATCAGCCCAATTCTTACATAGTTAGCAAAGCAAACCGTGCTATATCAGACACAATGGTGCATTAGTTTACAATGCTTGATTGCAAAAACATCGAATCAAGTTATCAGCGACAGAGTTTAGGGGTGATCCATTTGACTTTTCATTATTTTAAGGGGATGTGTGGGTGATTTAGTATAGTCACGAAAAAATTTTTTCAGCCCTTTCAGGGCTAAAAAAAATTTCGTGACTATGCTAAATAGACAATACTAAATGGACTATACTAAATGGACAAAGATGTTTTTCTAGGGAATTGTTTATATGTATGATTTTTTTTTCTTTGTGTGACAGGCTTTTTTTGGCTCGCTGAACGTACGTTTTTTTTTTTTTTCTTTCGGCAGTGATCGTGTCATTTTTTGTCGGTACAAGTACGCTGGCAGGATTTATTTATTTTCTCAAAATCACCCACACCGTCCCCCCTCAAAAGTTGAATGGTCCACCCATTAAGCACGAACTTTGCGGCAAACGGAAAACGGCAAAAATGCAACCTTTGCCGTCTGTCTTCAGCTTCAGCTCTTCGCACAGAGAGTGGAAATATTGAAAAACTGAAAAGGGGAAAAAAGGAAACACAAATGATGCAAGGGAAACGAAAATGTATGAAGGTAGTGTATGTATGAAGGTAGATATTTATTATTTTTTTGAGGGGCCTTTGGGCAATTTCCAAAAAAAATTCTTGTTGAACAAACATCCAGCAAGTGCTGTCTACCCTATTTCCTACCCAAAAAAAAAAAAAAGAAAAATCATGCACAATTAACCTAAGAGAGGGTCGCAAAGGGGGTTTCCCGTGAACCGTGAACGCCTATTCTTAATTACCGTGATTCGCGAACGAAAGAATTTATTCCCCGTGATCCGTGAACGAAAGTACTCCCGTGATTCGTGAAATAACTAATTTATATCTCGAGATTCGTCAACATGGGCTCATTTTTCGTGAAATATTCAATGTACATGGTGGGTATGTCGTCATTATTGCGGGCACCGGAAAGGATGGGAACTCCAGTGGCGGATCCAGACCTTGAGGTAAGGGGGGGNCCCCGCCGGCTTTTCTTCTTTCTGTGATTTTTTTCCTTTTTTGCCCAAAATAAGGGGGGCCCACGCCCCCGGGTCTCCGCCACTGAATTCCAATGGTAAGTCTACTAATTCAGCCATTCATTCTGTTTATTTTGCGGCCTTTTTACTTGGATTGCCTTTTTCTTGGGCGTATGTGTTGAGATATGGACAAGAACATCTGTATAACAGACACCAAAGCAGGTACCGTTAAGCTTATTACGTCCATCAAAGGCACTATTGGATTCCTAAAACATCTCTCATCGTATAACATTGTATAACGTCTCTCATCATAACCCATCGTATTATCATGTTGTCGAATAAGCAACGCCTCAACATGCTATTTCAAGAATGAGCCACCTTAAGCCAACGAGACAGCTCAATTCCAGACAGAAAGACCAGATGAGAGAATGGGCTTGTGACAATGGAAGGACCGTCCGTCAGCGTAGCGAGCGTCAGGAGTTAAGGCCGGGACTGACTTCCTCTCAGTATGTACCGTTCCTTGTATACACCAGCAGAGAGAGTAGTTTTCCCAACCGAACCTTCGCCAGATGACGTAGAAACTACAGTATCTGACATTCAGCTGCACGATGACGCTTCCGATGACTCTGAACAAGTGCAACTGAATATGACACAGATTCTGATGTCAGTGAAGACCTGAGAGATGATGAAGATGCACTGACCTTTCGTCGTGGCATACAGACAATTGCTATGAGACCAATGAAACTACTGACAAAGATAATGTTCTTGTGCATACGCACTACTCTAAAGAATTGCAAGTAATGAACTGTAACCAGTTCTGTTTGTGTAGACTACGGCATTCAGTTGTGAATTATCAGAGCAAATGTAGTATTTTAGAGCGTGAAAAACAATTATTTCGTGTGTATGCAGTAATTCATGATGGTCGACACGTCAGTTTTGTAGTACTATGGTCTACTATGTTGGTGAAAAGTGAAATCAAACGCTGAATTGTGCGTGATTCGTGAAAAGTCTGTTTTAATTCCTGTGAACCGTGCGCGACCTTCCCCCCCCCCCCCCCCCCCCCCCCCCCCCCCCCCCCCCCCCCCCCNAAAAGTCTGTTTTAATTCTCGAGAACAGTGAATTTTCGATTTTAATTTCCGTGAACCGTGCACTTCAACTCCCCTCCTCCCTTTCCGACCCTCTCTCATAGCCCAGAAAATTGCCCACCACCCGTCCACCCTCTCTCTTATCTATTTACGTATGTATTTATGGGTACTTTCTTGAATTCAACAATTTTAGGAAGGAAACGTACTGGTGACGAGGTTATGTTTGACGTAACACGTCCTTGGACAGGAAGCGGAAATGTCCAGGAAGGCTGTTAAGGCCCCATTTATATGGACTCGGGTACCCGAGACAACCCTTCTACCGAGTTACTCTGACCGAGGTAGCTTTTAGCTTATTTCTTTGCAAAATCAACCAACCGTGTACATTAGGATTGCGAACCCGTCTCGGGGAGCGAGACAACTCGAGTTGTCTCGCCTCGGCAGGTAGGGTAACCCTGGCAAGCGGGACAACTTTTCTTCATATAAACACTTTGGCTCGCCAAACCGGGACAACTCAGGGCGTGGCGAGTGTCACGTAATGCCTGGATTTAGGATTTGAAGCAGAAATTCGTATCAAAGAAGTCAAAATTAACTCGGCAAAACCCAATGTGATCGAATGACCGAGGGAAACTCAAAGAAGAAGGAATATCTGTACATTTGATTATTCAATAAAGGTTATGAATAATCCTGCAGGGACAACTTTGACTCGACCTACAGGGACTACGTTTTCACATATAAACGCTTGATAAAGTTGCCTTGGGGAGAGGGCTGTCTCGGGTACCCCCATAACTGGGGCCTGAGATCGTTTTCGGATTTCTTCGGTTATCTTCGGATGAAGTCGGATCATGTCAAGAAAAGTCTGGTGGTTCATTTACCTGTTGACGCAGCCCAATGGATTCTTTAGAAAAAAAAAACATTTTTGTTCAGTCTCTAACAGTAAAAAAATGTTACTCGATTCTGGATAGCTTCAAGGGCAATGCTGTTCAAGTGCCTAGAGGCTCCGGCGTTAAATTTTCATAGTGTTTAAGAAATTACTCCTGGTTAATCGTTCCAAATTGCCCTCGAAATCATAGACAACTTATGCAAACAGATGTAGTTGGTGAAGAGATTGTATTTGTCCAAGAAATTCGTTCCTGACATATATTCAAACGTAGCATTATATCTAAGGTTCTCAGTCTTTCTCGGCAGTTTTGATTGTTATTCCTCCAACACAACTTGCATAAATTTATCATACAAACCCTGGAATTAATAAAATAAAACACAATCTAAGTTTTCCGGAGGACTAGCTTTGGACAAGGACACCTTGTGTAAACAGTTTGACCCCAGTCCCCCAGAATGGGTGGTCCGGAAGCAGTGAAAATGATTCTTATGGTAACCAAAGGGTTAAATTAACAATTAAACGACCAGATGGTATTGTAGTAATAAATCTGATTAACAGAAAGAGATTATTGACTTCTTTAACCTTTTTTCGTTTGTCAACATGCAACGAAAAACAAATATAAATCCAGAGAAATGCAAATTTGTTATGAGTACGCTAAGCGTGCCTACAACTCGGGAGTAGTTAGAGCTAGCTGGGGCTAAACTCACGGCTTAAGTCAGGGCTTAAGTCATTTGCAGTGGCAGGTCTAAGGGTTCTCAAAAAGGGAGCAAAAAAAGTCTCCCGTCCACAAAAACTTGAACTTTAGTGAAGAGTCACAGCAAATAATGAGTCCCCAAATTGACAGTGATTTCGTCTTTTATTGATTTTATTCATATCTTTTTTGCATTTTTCAATTTTTTATTATCCTATAAATTTTTTTTACAAAGCCCCATAAGCTATATTAGTTTTAAAACCCACCGCGTTTAAATAAAAGCTGTTGTTTGTTTTTTGTTTTGTTTGATTTGCATTGTAGTTATATTTCTTGGAAATTGTATTCGCACAGCCATTTGCATCATATGGTCCAAAGCGTTTATGATCTTGAGGTCATTCCTGTATTTACTTGCATGGGCTCAAATTAACAATTTTCAAATAATGGTGGAATCCATCTCTATATGCTAAGCTGTGTAAACTTTGTCGACCCATAATCTCTTTTTCTCGGTCATATTTCATTTCTTAATTCTCACCGTAAACAAATTCCATACAGGATCATCAGTTTCCTATTTTAATAACTGTTTGTTATTGTTAAAAGTTGGCTTGTGTAGTTTTCTCCTTCCATCAGCATATTTCAGTTTCCGCACGAATTTAGCCGACAGTTTATAAATTTCAGTTTCAATTGTTTATTTTTACAACATTGCTTCAGTTTCAAATGAATCATAGAACACTAAAATAGAGCCAGTATCCGTTGATTTATAAGAATCAGTTGACAACAACAATTGCTGACTTGAAAAAAGTCATGAACCGAAGGCCTTCGCCAGAGATGGATTTTGAAGATAACACGTTCAGAGGTGAGAAACCTATGGTAATATAAAGCCTTTTATTCTGTGAATTTGCCGATTTTGAAGCTGAGTTCCTTGAGATATTCTTTTTCAATTTTTTAATCTAAATGACCGTTTTCCTTGGACAAGAAATTTATTTTCAGTTCAACTTTTAACCAGGAGAAAAACGTACGTTAAGGCCTATGTACTCGGACTGATTTCCCTCAGAAAGAAATATAATTATCCATGAACACTTCACGTGATATGACACATATCTCCACATTATTGAAGCGAATAAGACATGATCAAATCCACCTGACAAACGTAGAGTAAAGTTCTTAGAAAATAATAACGATAAAACGTCTGCAGCTCACATTGCAATCGAATGCTAAACGATAAGGCCTGGTGTGAACCTAAAATACCAATGAAGATTTGTGTTCCCTTATTAGAACCAGTTGATATAGCGCAGAATTGAACGGAGATAGACGCCAGTACATGATGAATCCGAGTGATTCACAAGAAATCGACTCTGCCAGCAATGACACACTGAGAGGTGAGATACCCCCAGGGGGAGGGTAATCCCTTATGTGGGATATGTAGGTATGTGCTGCCCCAAAGGGTATGGTTTTAAGCCGTTTTGGTCATAAATTGGGTATCGATTTTGGCCATTTTGGTCATGAAGAGGGTATGGTTTTAGCACTCTTGAACTGGGTATGTTTTTTCTACTTACTTGGGAAGCGGCCCGCATACCCCCACTCAATTTTTCTGGGAGTAATCCACCCCCCACCACCACCAGGTGAGATATACATGTAATATAATTTTGAGAAAATGCAGTTATGAAACCGAGTTTCTTGAATAGAATCCATAGATTGTTCTTCATGCGGAATGATCCCTATTTTGTGAGTAAGAAACTTGCTAATTATTTTTTTCCTTAACAGAAGACTTGGGTGAAAACCGATAAACCCATGTTTTCAACAGAAACAATTTTGAACAGGATGTAACCCACGCTACCCGCGCGCGCCAGCGATAACATTAACTTCACCTAACTTTTTTTCTCTTGAATCGCCAGTGACAAGTACAGTTTGGATTCATGACTTTTTAGAAGCTTTAAAGAGAGAATTCGTCTATATCATTTAACTTTATTGCCGTAGAATAAAGAACATCTTAACAGGAGATGACAGATAAATTAAAACTAAGGTTACTATACTGAAGAGGTGGAACAATTCCAATGTTGGAAATGGATGTTGCATCTAAAGACTTTTCAGTGCGTACAGGAATACTGCATGTTTAAGCAAGCTCTACCGTCATAAGTGAACGACTGGAGTCTTGAGCATACTATAACGACATAAAATACAAAACACCTTCTGTTATAGGGAGCTTATCAGTCGTAAGAAGTTATACGGTTTCTCTACTACGAGTATAGTAAATCTCTGTATAAACACTAGCAAACGGACAGATCATCCGTCCAGTAAATTATCCAATTTAGATCGTTTGTCAAGATAAACCTACCTGAAAAAGGCTTACGTTTGACTAACTTTCCACCAATAAAAAAGTAAAATGTAGTTAAATTTGAGATTTTATCCGTTTACTAACCACAGTATTTTGTAAAGAGTTGAACTGCAAACTTTCCGGATTCGTAGTTTTACAACGATACTGGCGAATTTCAAAATACCCTGTCGTGATTTCAGAGATTATAGGTTAAACTTTCTTTTGCACTAAGAATGAAATTTAAGGGAGATACTGGCGAATTTCAAAATACCCTGTCGTCATTTTAGAGATTATAGGTTAAACATTCTTTTGCACTAAGAAAGAAATTTAAGGGAGATTGCAGAGAAATAAGAGTCAAACAACAGGCAGAAAAATTGCAGAAAACAATTGAAATTAAGGGTCACATAACAGATCGAACAGAAAAACACTTACATAGATTTCTATTCCTTTATCAGAACCAGTTGACACGGCACAGGAACAAAGTTCTTCCCAAAATATGGATTTAGCTGACAACGACACATTAACACGTGAAAAAATATCTCAATTTATTATCCAACTGCAGCAAATACCGTCCAAATAACAGTACAAACATACAGTGATATATATATATATATGTTATTGGCCGGCTGGGAGGTCCGTATAAGGAAAAACTGTGATCGAGGTCACAGTTTTTCACTATACGGACCGACCCTAAGCCGGACAATAACATGTTTATCTTTTTTTCTTGCGGTAAATTGGCTTACAAGTGGGTTT